ACCGGGTCTTTGTTGCTGTACTCAGGCCTTCTCTAGCTGCGGCAAGTGGGGGTCCCTCACTGTGGTGTGAGGGCCTCTCACCGCGGTGGCTTCTCCTTGCAGAGCGCCGGCTTTAGGCACAGGCTTCAGTAGTTGTGGCACACGAGTTTTTTTACTCCGAGGCATGTGAAATCTTCCCAGATCAGGGATCGAACCCGTGTCCCCTGTATTGGCAGCCGGATTCTAACCTACTCGGCCACCTGGGAAGTCCCTTCCTTGCCTGTTTTGAGGATAGCACCTGCTTTCCAGGGCTGTTGAAAGGGTCTGATGACATCAGTACAGTCCTTATGCAGTGCCTGGTGCTGAGTGAGCGGATTAGAACTGATTGTATTAATATTATCCCTACCTCTGTGATCGGGCGAGGTGATGCAGGCGTGATTGGGGGCAGAGGAGGTGTAGCCAGCACTGGGCTCCCACCAGGCCGTGCGCCTCCCGTCCTCGGCTGAGGAACTTGAAGCAGGCCGGCACTTTGCCCCAGACACAGGGTGGAATGTCCCTCCTCAGATAATAATCGCACTGCCCTTTGTTGCTCCAAGCTCTGGTTGTTAGCCGCAGGAAATAAATCAGAGGGTGAACTGACTGACTTCCCAGACCCTGGAATCTCGCAGCTCGCCCCCACGGGCCTTTGCACCGCCTGGCAGCCGTTCCCTTCCTCTGGGACTGGGCTTGGAGGCCACGTCCTCCCAGGAGCTGGCCGGAACTCCTGCCGCGGGGGCCGTGCCCCCGGCGCCCTCTAGTGTCGGGTTGTATTAGTTTCCCGGGGGTCTCTACCGAAGTACCACACGCCGGGTGGTTTTAAAGAGAAACGTTTTCTCTCAGTGTTCTGGAGGCTGGAAGTCCAAAATCAAGGTGTTATCGGGGCCATGCTCTCTCTGTCGGCTCCAGAGGAGAATCCGGTCCATGCTTTTCTCTTAGTTTCTGTGCTGTCAGGAGACCTCGGTGTTCCTTGGCTCGTAGCCACGTTAATCTCTGCCTCACCCACGCCAGGGTTCTTGCCTGGAGAATCCCAGGAACAGGGGAGCCTGGTGGGCTGCCATCTATGGGGTCGCACAGAGTCGGACGCGACTGAAGCGACGCAGCAGCAGCCGCAGTCTTCACGTGACCTTTCTCCTGTGTGTTGGTGACCTTTTCTCCTCTTCTCACAAGGAAACAAACTGTACTGGCAGTGGTCCACTGATCCAGTGAGACCTCGTCTTAAATTTTTCAAATATTTATTTATTTACTGTTACTATTTTTTGGAGAACGGAATGGCAGCCCACTCCAGTATTCTTGCCTGGAGAATCCCATGGACAGAGGAGTCCATGGGGTCACAAAGAGTCGGACATGACTGAAGTGACTTAGCATGCATGCATTGCTATTTTTTCTGGGCCAGTGTTAGTTGCAGCACACAGGACCTTTAGTTGCCGCATGTGGGATCTAGTTCCCTGACCAGGGATCAAACCTAGGCCGCCTGCAGCCCAGAATCTTAGCCACTGGACCACCAGGGGAAGTCCCTCGTCTTAAATGGGTTACACCTTCAAAGATCCTGTTTCCAAATAAGGCCACATTCACAGGTTGTTGTTTAGTCACTCAGTCGTGTCCAACTCTCTGCGACCCCATGGACTGACCCCAAGATCCCCAGGGGATCTTCCCGACCCAGGGATTGAACTTGTGTCTCCAGCATGTCTCCTGCATTGCAGGCAGGTTCTTTACCCCTGAGCCACTGGGGAAATATTCACAGGTTACCAGAGGTTAGGACTTGGACATATCCTTTTGGAGGACACTATTCGAGCCATAACACACACTTTCGCATTGGTCAGGAAATACTTGCTGGATAGTAATGGAGACAGTGTTTGTGGGCATCTCTTGCCAGGCCTGGTCCATGCTGTGGTCCTAGCGCTTTGCCAGGACCTGGCCAGAGAACGTGCTCCGGAGAAGCTGATGACTGAGTGAGGACCAGAGGAGGAAGTGCCCCACCTTGGGACAGCTGACTAGTTTTCTGGGCTCTGAGATGCTTTGAAAGACCTTGGAGGAACAGGCTGGGTTGGGAGCGGAGTTTAAAAGGGACTAGGCTAGGGAGTTGCCTAGTTAAGGCCAGACTTATTTCTTTTCTTTCTTTCCCTCTTTCTCTTTTTCAGCTGTGCTGGATCTTAGTTGTGGCACATGGAAAAAGATCCGTGTGGCATGTGGGATCTAGGTCCCTGACCAGGGATCATTGGGAGCAGAGAGTCTTAGCCACTGGACCACCAGGAACATCCCATTGGCCAGATTTATTTCTTATAAGCAAGGACCAACAGCTGTCCACTTCCTAGAATCTTCTAGTGTGGGCAAGCCTGAGCATTTGCATACATGACTGGGTTATAAATTACTCTCCTTTTATTTCTCCTCTATAGTAAAGTTAGAGTGTCGCACTGATAGTTATGAAATGTTGTGAATAGGTAGATTATTTCGGACTTCCGGTTTCCAGTCCTGTGTGCAAGGAGCTTGGACATCATCACACTGTCCTTGTGAATGAAAAGCTGAGCAAAGGAAAAAATGAACACCTCTTCTTAGATTCATCAGAGAAGTGAGGCCACAACGCAAGCCGCCGTCTCCGGTTTGTGTGTGTCATCTAAGGCTGCTTTCCCAAAGCAGCAGCAGACTTGAGAAGCTGCAACAAAGACTGTCTGCCCCGCAAAGCCTGAAATATTTGCTCTGACCCAAGGCAGAAAATGTTTGCTGGCGCTGATATAAGATAAGGAGAGTGAAAATAGGGGAACAGTTAACAGACAGGAATGGTGAGTGTGGCTGGGAGAGAGAAAGCAAGAGAAACAGTGGCAGGAAACAACCTGGGGGTCTCACTTCTGATCTAACATGGCCTTGTAATATGTGGTAGGAACTTTGGGTTTTATTCTTACTATGAAGATTTTCTAAAAACAGAAAAGAAACTGAACTCGCTCGGTCACGTCCGACTCTTTGTGACCCCATGGGCTATAGCCTACAAGGTTCCTCCGTCCATGGGATTTTCCAGGCAAGAATACTGACGTCTAGGAGATCTTCCTGACCCAGGGACTGAACCCGGGTCTCCCACATTGTGGGCAGGTGCTTTACTGTCTGAGCCCCCAGGAAGCCCAGGTCTTAGTTGTGGCATAAAGGATCTAGTTCCCTGACCAGGGATGGAGCCCTGGTCCCCTGCATTGGGACCGTGAAGTCTTAGCCACTGGACCACCAGAGAAATCCCAATGTACAAGTTTTTGTGTGGGCATATTTTTGTTTTTCATTTCTCTAGGAGTGGAATTGATAGGTCATATAATAACTCTATGTTTCACATTTTGAGTAACTTCTAGACTGTTTTCCACATCCGCTGCAGCATTTTACATTCCCAGAAGCAATATACAAGGCTTCCAATTTCCCACCATCCTTGAAACACTTGTAATTATCTGTCTTGTTATAGCCATTCTAGTGGGTGTGAAGTTGTGTCTTAGTGTGGTATTTACCTAATGACTAATGATGTTGATGATTTTTTCATGTGCTTGCTAGCAATTTATACCTCTTTGGAGAGATTCAGATTTATAATTTGCAAATACTTTCTCCTATACTGTGGGTTTTTTCATTTTCTTGATGGTATCTTTTGAGACACAAAAGTTTTTAATTTTGATGAAATCTAAATCCAATTTTTCTTTCATTGCTTGTGTTGTTATATATAAAAGCTGCTACATATGGTGTTATATATTAAAAAAAAAATCTTCTACTGCAAGGTCAAAAACTTTACTCCTGTTTTCTTCAAGGAGTATTATAGTTTTAACCCTGACTTTTAGGTCTATGATCCACTTTGAGTTAATTTTTTTATAAGGTAGGAGTCCAGTTTCATTCTTCTACATGGGGATATCCAGTTGTTTCAGCACCAATTTGTTGAAAAGATTGCTCTGTCTTCATTGAATTTTCTTTTCTTTTTTTGCTCGGGGGTTGCATAACTAGTTAGCATGCCAGAGTGTCCTTCTTTATCAGAACTAACCAGACAAATCACTTTACCAACTAAGAACGGCCATGCACCACCACCCACGGAATCGAGAAAGAGCTATCAGTCAGTCAGTCCTGTCCCTCATTGAATTTTCTTGGCACCCTTGTCAAACAGCAGTTGATCAAATAGCAGTTTACTTCTGGGCTCTCAGTTCGATTCTCTTGATTTATATGTCTATCCTTATGCCAGTATCACACTGTTTTTTGGTTCCTTTAGCTTTTTAGTAAGTTTTCAGATTGTGCAGTGTGTCCTTCGATGATTTTCTTCTTTTTTAAGCATTCACTTTTTAATTTATGCTTGTTGAATCTTTTTTTTTTTTTTTTTTCCTTGGCAGTGCTGCAAGGCCTGTGGGTTCTTAGTTCCCTGACTAGGGATGGAACCCGGGCCCTGGCAGTGAAAGCACCAAGTCCTAACCACTGGATCGCCAGGGAATTCCTGAGTCTCTTTTAAGGCATGATCAGCTTTAGATTTGGTTTTAGCACAGAAATAATCTGCAGGTGGTATGTGTGTTTCCAGAGTCAGGACGTGATGTAGGCTTGGGTCTGTCTGTGATGTAGGAAGCCATCCACAGTCTTCACCTGGATCATTTTTAATTAGAGGTGATTTACATTTTGAAAAGGTCACTGTGGTTGCTGGGGTTGGGGGGTGGTCCCAGGGTTTCAAGGACTGAAGGATAGTCATGCGACAAAACACTTGTTGCCATGCCTGGCACAGAGCGACCACTCGATAAATACCAGTCCTTATTGTTCTTGTTATTAGAGCTGTGAGTGGGGGACCACGTCTTGGGCCAAGAGCCATTTTTCTGGCTAGGGTGTTCTCCCTTCTCCTCTGCCCTTGGAGGGGACATCGCCCCATGGCTCTGGGAGGCATGTTCAGAAATGCAGCGGCCATCTATTTGCACCTGGTGGGGCCCCTCCAGGGAAAGAAGTCTGGAGCTTCGCTCACCCGGTGTTTGCACCAGACTGTAAGTGCTCTCGCCCCTTGCGCTCTGCTGCTCACATGACCTGGGGCTCCTGGGATCTGGCTTGGTCCTGGCTTCAAAGCTGTGCATGAGCCTCCTCTTTCAGGAAGCATTCTCTGAGTGCAGACTGGGTGCGGGCCCCTCCCTTGCCCCTGCTTCTGATCTAGCTTATAGCTCTGCATCCTTAGTGCTGCAGCCTCCCCGTCGGCCCCTAGCCCAGCCCAGTGTTTGGTACACAGTAGGTGCTTCATAAATGTTGGCTGAATAAATACATTATGCATAAAGTCAAGGACAGGCACTGGTTCCTCCCTTATCCCAGTAGTGTGTGATGTACGCAAAGGTCACTCCATCGAGCACCCCAAGTTTCTGGGGTTCCCCCTTTTTTATCTCCTCCCTGTACTCATTCAGCTCGGTTCATCTTTGTTCTCTCTCTGTACCCCTCTACCCCTTCACCCATCTCAACCCTCCTCAAGCTCCCTCACTCCAGCCTCTACTCCCCTCTCCACCACTGCCCCGGCTCATCTTCGCTTTATTTCCTTAACATGATGCATATCCAGTTCAAAAACAAGTGCTTATATCATTGAACCCATAATGACATCAATATTAAGATACATTGTTATTTTAGGGACTAGTAAGGGAGGAAGAAATTGCCTATTAAATTCATTCTGTAGGTTCTAAGATACATCTGAAAGTGCAGTGTGCAAAAATACACATTTCAGAATCAAATATGATATGATCTCCATTCAAAAAAAACTTGGAAACATAGAAGAGCACACCCATAATTCAATCACCTACAATTCCACCACTCAGAGGGAACCTTTGTTAACATGTTACTATGTTTCCTTCTAAACTTTTTTCCATTCACATATGATCATACAAAATGTATATATACAAAGATATTTCTTTAAACATAATTATACCATACATGCTATTTTGTCACCTGTTTTATTGATATCAGTACAGCACATTTATAAACATTCCTCTAAAATGTAATTTTCTCCCATATTTTTAATCATAAAAATAAAACATTTATTTTAGAAAATGTGGAAAACAGAAAATTATTAAGGAAGAGAAGAAAAAATGTCTGTTAACTAACCAAAGATAATCACTGCCATCTAACATTTTGGTGATCACACGATTTCCCTGGCAGAGATTATGCTATCATTCTTACTATTTCGACACATGCTGAGTGCCAGGCCAGGCGAGAGGTGTCAGGGCCTGGTGAAAGCACAGGGCTGCCAATGTTAGCAAAGCACCCACTCGGTGCCAGGCTCCACGCTGGGCTCTGTCTGAACGGTTCACATCACCAGGACTCCTAGGCGATAGAAAAACCTGGCCGGGGTACAGACGGTCCCCACACCCTTCTCCAGGCCTAGGGCCAGGAGCTGGGAGCCCTGCTGTTGCTGTTGTCCTGACCCAGAGCCCTGAGCAGCTCCTCTTCTGACCTTGGGCAAGTCCCCAAATCTCTTTGAGCCTCAACGCCCTCATCTTGAGATGAGGATTTTCCTGGCCCCTCTGATAAGCCTGCGTGAGGACTCGGACTGTGAAGAACAGTGAGGGTTCACCGTGAGCCACCAGGTGGCTCCACCACCTGCCGGCCCTCTGAGACTCCAACCCACAGGGACCAGGAGGCTCCGAGGGCCCACGAAGCCCGTGCCCCTATTACACTGATGGGGAGACTGAGGCCAGGAGGAGCTAATGCACTTGTGCAATATCACCCAGCCACGACAGACTGAGGACCTGAGCCTGATGGTCCCCGGGCCAGGCCAGTGTCAGCACACCTGTGGGTGAGGGGGAAGCTGGCCTGGAAGGAACCCAGGGAAGGGGAGGGGTGGTCCCCTGAGCCCCCGAAAGACTGAGCTAGTGGCCCCTTTGCCCAAGTCCAAATGTGGCCTCATCTCAAACAGGCCTGAGTCTTATCTGTCGTGTGACCTTGAACACAGCCATCTCCCACTCCTCCCTGCATTTTCTCAGCTGTAAAATGGGTCAAGTCAGGAGGTTCCAGGAAGTTCACGGAAGAGTTTAGCAAGAAGCTGCTGCCGTCACTGTTGCCCTATTCCGCTCTCCTGCTTCCTGCTGCTCCTCCTCCCCAGCCCCGCCTGGGTCAATTTTAACTGGAGTCCAGTCTATGTCCCGGGACATGCGGAGTCCGGGCTGACAGGTGGGCAAGTTCAGACTGGTGGCGCGGGGAGGAGCCAGGCGTGGGGAGGCTGGAGGAGCCCTGCTTTCTGCCTCCTCCCTGAGGGGCGGACACGGAGGCTATGGTCAGAGCAGTTGCTTCCCTGGGGCAAGCCCAGGCTGACCCTCCTCTAGCTGTCTCCAGCTGACTCTGCTTGCTCTGTTGTCTCCAGCTCACCATGGCTAAACAGCTGCAGGCTCGAAGGCTGGACCGGATCGACTACAACCCGTGGTGAGCCAGGCAGGACTGGGGAGGGTGGTGGTGGGGGTCCCCTGGCTCCAGGATAGCAGGGCTGGCGGTCTCTGGGTTGGCAGGGACACAGTGGTACCCAAGACGGCTGCATACTCACACTGGAAGTTTTGCAGCCTCAGCCCTTGAGAGGTGAGACCTCCTGCCAGCCACCGGCTTGGGTTTGGGTCTCAGCCTCACTCTGCTTGGCTGTGGCATTTGAGGCCAGTGACTCACCTGCTCTGAGCCTCAGGTTCCGGCTAGGAAACGGAGATACTTCTGTCTCCCCTAAAGGGCCTTGGGAGGAGGAGATGAAATACTGTGTGAGCCATGGCCACTACCCAAGCACTGGGCTAAGGGCTTTCCGGGTGGGGGGGTGAGGGGGGTCTTTCATTTCACACTTAGTAGAGAACAAGATAAGCTAAAGAATGTAAGAAGGTAAGACATGGGCAGCTCCTCCCTGACACTTGCAGAGCTTAACATCTTTTTTTTAATTGACTCATTCTACATGTGAAAGACGTACGTGCCGCTGTCACTAGTGATGCAATGGATGCAATCAAAGATGTGCAAGAAAGACTGAATGACCTTCCTTCTTCCCCCTTCTCCGACCCCTGGTCCCAGTCCACTCCCCCTCTGGCCAAGAGCACAGAGCCACCTCTGTATGTAAAAAAGATATCATTGGCTGTTGTTTTTATCAAAAAAAGGACCATCTTTTCCTTTCAAACTCCCCTCCTGTACTGCATTTTGTGTTTTGCAAAAATCTTCCACCTCCGCCTTCTCCTCCGGTGCTCCCTGGTGTTTGGGATGGGGGAGCCAGGCCCAAAGACCCTATGGTGTCTGGCTGCCCTCCAGGTTGAGCCCCCAGGATCCTGCTTCCCAGGCTGCCCCCTCTGCCCTCTCCATGAGGCAGGTGGGCAGGCCTGTGGCCCATTTTGCAGACAAGGTAAAGTCCAGCTGAGAGGGAGGAAATAACTGGCTGGAAGAGGCAGCTAGAGTCTCTCCTGACTCACAGAGCCAGCAGATTCTTGAACCTGTCATACCCATTCTACAGAAGGGAGGACTGAGTCCAGGAGAAGCCAAGTCTCAGGCAGAGTCAGGGCAGAGCTGGCCTGGGAGGACTGCACAGAGCAGAGGAGGAGTGCTAGGAGGGATGAGGGCCGTGAGAGGCCCCAGGTTCCTACGGACCCCAGGGTGGTGGCCTGAGGATCTGGCTCCGTTGTCTCAGCCACCATGGACCACCCACCATCTGACTTTGCATCTCAGCTCTGCTTTAGCCACTCGTGTGGCTCTGGGCAGGTCATGGGCCTCTCTGAGCCTCAGCAACTTTGTGTCTTCAGAGACTTTGTGAAGCTCTGGAGAGAACAAGAACCAATTTTAGACATATTTATTGTTAGGCAAATTCAAAGCCACCACACCTGATTCCTCTGCCCCCTGGCAACCTGGAACCGTGTGCCAGCCTTTTTATCCAGCTTCTCAGCCTCTCTGCCAGCTTCCCTAAAGAGGTGGCCAGCAGGCAGGCCCAGAAGAAAGGTGGTAGGGTGCCAGAGGTGGCAGATGGCAGGGCTGGTGGGACCACAGTCTATTCAGGGTAATTCTCCAGGGCCCAACTGTTGCTTCAGACAGAGGTGGACTCAAAAGCCAACTGTGCTAATTGGGAGCCATCAGGCAAGTCCCCCGAATCCCGCCTTCTCCATCCCCATTGCGACCGAGGAGCAGCACTTGCCTCACAGACTAACAGAGGCGGTATGAGCAAATGTTTCAAAGTGTGGTGTTGACAGATGCATGAATGGGTCATGAAATCCATTTCAGGGCGCTCAGCAAGTATTTGTAAAGACCAGAGTAGGACAGGATGGGAAAGACTGCTGTGGATCCCACTGGAAGGAGAACCTGGAGTCCCTGTTTGTCTCTCCAGAGTTTGGGATGTAAAAGGGATTTCTTACTGTGGATTGTGGTGGAAAATTCCAGAGCCCCTGGACTGAGACATGTGACCAGCATGGCATGTGACCAGTTATGACCATAAACAGATCAGGACGGGTACTGATTATCCAGTTTTTCTAGAGCAAGCCCAAGTGCCTTGCTCAGCCTGCCCTGGAATTGAGCAGAAATCCAGGTTGGGTGGAGGGTTCTGCTGGTACCCACTCTCTGTTTGTTACCCAGGGTGGAATTTGCCAAACTGGCCAGCGAGGAGGCTGATGTTGTAAATCTGGGCCAAGGCTTCCCAGACTTCTCACCCCCAGAGTTCGCCGTGGAAGCCTTTCAGCACGCCGTCAGTGGGGACTTCATGCTTAACCAGTACACGAAGGCATTTGTGAGTCTCCCAGCCCCTCTGGGGGACCCCAGACGTGGGCCTCTGCAGAGATCCCAGGGGAGGAAGGGGCAGCTCTTTCTGGACAGCAGGCCAATCGAGATGTTACGGTTCATGGGGCAGAGCCCTTGAAATTCAGTCCAGCCATGGTTCAGTGTTCACTGACTGTCTCCTTTGTTACAGGCCCTGGGACAGTTCATGGCCCGGGGGAAAGAAAGATTTAAAACAAAACAAAACAAAACAAAACATGAGCTGGGAGATCATGGTCTAGTGGGAAAAGCAGACCAAACAACAGAAGCAGAAATCAAAGGTAGTTGATTTGCTGTGATGGAGGAGCTTGGGGTCCTTGGGAGCACAAAGGAGGGAATGAAACCTGGGAGATCAGGGAAGGCTTCCTGAAGGAGGTGACACATAAAGCTGATGAAAGATATTTGATTATTTTTTTAACTCTAAATCCAAAACCTGTCTGTAAAGAACCACAGAGTAAATATTTGCCAGGCCTGGAGCAGGTTCTTAAACGTTGGTGTGCATCTCACGGCCTGGGGGAAAGCTTCTTCCAGTCCCACCACCCAGAGTCTAGCACTGCCAACAGTGTGCTACTTTGCTGAGTGTTTAGACTTTTGAACTTTTAACTTTTAAAAATGTTTATATAAACACATGTGAGATTTGTGTGGCTTTCTGTTGTTTTTTAATTGAAATATAAAGTTGACTGTCTGCATCATGTGGCCAAAGTATTAGAGCTTCAGCTTGATTTACAACATTGTGTTAATTTCTGGTGCTCAGCAAAGTGATTCAGTTATAATATACATGTGTCCCCATTTTAAAATATTCTTTTCCGTTATAGTTTATCATAGGATATTGAATATAGTTCTCTGTGCTATACAGTAGAACCTTGTTTTTTTGTTTTTTTTTGGCTTTTTTGGCCATGCTGCTCAGTAGGTGGGATCTTAGTTCGCCTACAGTAAAAGCACAGTGTCCTAACCACTGGATCTTAACGGAAGGCCAATATTGTTTATAATATGAGTCCGTTTGTGTTAAAAATCACAAATCTTTTTCTAGAAACATACGACCCACCAAAATTTAATCAAGAACAAACAGATAATTTGAACAGACCGATCACTACAAGTGAAATAGAATCTGTAATTTTAAAACTCCCTACAAATGAAAGTCTGAGACCAGGTGGCTTCACAGACTGATTCTGCCAAATATACAAAGAAGAACTTATATCGATCGTCCCCAAACTCTTCCAAAAAATTGAAGTGGGAACACTCCCAAAGACTCTATGTGAAGCCATCATCATCCTGATACCAAAACTAGACATCAACAAATAAGAAAATTACAGGGCAATATCTTTGATGAATATAGATGCAACAATTTTCAACAAAATATTAGCAAATCAAATCCAACAACATGTAAAAAAGATTATACGCCACATCCCAAGTTCACAAGGATAGATCAGCATACCCAAATCAGTGTGATTCACCACATAAACAAAAGAAAAAACAAAAACCACATGGCTATCTCAATAGATGTAAAAAAAGCATTTGATGAAATTCAGCATGCATGAATGATAAAAACTCTTACCCAAGTGGTAATAGAGGAAACATATCTCAACATAACAAAAGCTGTCTATGACAAACCCACAGCCAATATAATACTCAGTGGTGAAAAGCTGAAAGTCTTCACACTAAAATCTGAAACAAGACAAGGATGCCCACTCTCACCTTGTCTACTCAAGATAGTATTAGAAGTCCTAGCCACAGCAATCAGATAAGAAAAAGAAACAAAAAGTATCCAAATTGGAAGGAAAGAGACAAAATTGTCGCTATATGCAGAAGATATGATACCGTATATAGAAAACCCTAAAGACTCCACACAAAACTACTAGAACTGATAAGCAAATTCAACATTATATATACAATATTATGGAACTTGTTTATTTCACTAAATAGTATGATAGGGGCATCTTTCCATGTCAAAATAGCCTCATTCTTTTGATGGCTGCATAGTATTCCACTGACTAGATGTGCCATAATTTATTTACCCGGCCCTTCACTGATGGTCTGGTTTGGCTATCTCACTATTAAGCAATGCCACAGTGAATATTTTTTTTTTCACAGTGAATATTTTGTGTGTACACATAGGTGAGCATTTATCTCAAATCACAAGAAGTAAAACCAGAGAATCAAAGGGTGTAAGCATTTTAGCCTAAGATGGATATCATCAAATTGCCCTCCAGTAAGACTTACATTCCCATCAACAGTCTGGTCTCAGAGCTGGCAGGAAAGTTCATTCTTTTCCTATCAATATTGAACATCAGCAATTTTTCTTTCATGACTGCCCTCATTATTTCATTTGGTTATGTGTATTTCATTTTATTGCTTCACAAGAGCTCTTTCTGTTGCAATGTTTCTCTCTTAGTTTTCTAACTTTGCTCATGGAATATTTTGATGTATAGAAATTTTTCATTTTCATGTGGTCAAATCTGGTTTGGTAAATTATTTAGTTAAATTCCAGACCTTAGGTTTCAGTCCCTTGGCTTACCCTGGAATGTTTTATAAGTGTCCTCAGCAAACAAGCATATAGATCCAACATTCTTCTCAAAGTGAGGGGTTTCCAAAGCTGCAACATAAACTCTTAGTCCTGCACTTCAACTGCCATGACCTTGGGCAAGTCATTTCCTTTCTCTGGGTCTCTTTTTCCACTGTTAAATGATGGGAATCAAGTAATGTCTCTCTTGCAAGGCTGCCAAGAAGATCAGATGGCACAAAAGTCCTTCTTAAAGAAAGCAAAAGTGGCTCAGCCGTGTCCGACTCTTTGCGACCCCACGGACTGTACAGTCCATGGAATTCTCCAGGCCATAATACTGGAGTGGGTAGCCTTTCCCTTCTCCAGGGGATCTTCCCAAACCAGGAATGGAACCCAGGTCTCCCGCATTACAGGCAGATTCTTTACCAGCTGAGCCTCAAGGGAAATCCCTTAAACTCTCTTAAACTTAAAGGGAGGTATTTAAAGCTTGGAATTGTTGCTATTTTGAGGGTTCCATTGGACTGTCATTCCTGAAGGCATACACTCTGTCTGGTTCCCCACCAATCCCAGCGCTGGGTGGTGGGCCTGGCACAGAGCAGGCTTCACAGCAAGGGGTGAAAGATGAAAGAACCCACCCCACAGAAGCTGACTTGACCCCCAGGTTTGCTGCTGAAAGATGCTAGAATTGCAGAGAGTGCCTGAACAGGAGGGTGGGCCCAGGCTGAGCCAGGCCCACCATGTCAGGCCCAGCCTGACCCATGCTGTCCTGGCAGGGTTACCCACCCCTGACGAAGATTCTGGCCAGTTTCTTCGGGAAGTTGCTGGGACAGGAGATAGACCCACTCAAGAACGTGCTGGTAACTGTGGGTGCCTACGGGGCCCTGTTCACAGCCTTCCAGGCCCTGGTGGATGAAGGAGATGAGGTGACTGGGCAAAGCCCGGGCTGGGTAGGGGTGAAGGGTCCGGGTGGTGCCAGCCCCAGCTCATCTGACCTTTGTACTAGGTTATCATCATCGAGCCCTTTTTTGACTGTTATGAGCCCATGACATTGATGGCAGGGGGTCGCCCTGTGTTTGTGTCCCTGAAGCCGGTGAGGATGCTGGTTGGGGTGTGGGTGGGAAGAGGGGTCCAAGGAGTGTGCTGGGTTGAACCCAGGGAGGTGGGAAAGAAGGAAGGAAGTGGAGGAGGCCAGTTTCTCCAGGATAGGGGGAAGGGTGTCCAGAGCCTCAGAGTAGAGACGGTGGAGACAGATGCCTGGGGGAGGAGCCGAATTCCTAGAGATGAAAGTCAGGAAGTAAGTATTGCCACCCCACCCCCCTCTTCTTGCAGAGCCCCACCCAGAAGGGAGAACCAGATTCCAGCAGCAACTGGCAGCTGGATCCCACGGAGCTGGCCAGCAAGTTCACATCTCGCACTAAAGCCTTCATCCTCAACACACCAAACAACCCCCTGGGAAAGGTACCTGAGAGACCTCCTCCCTGGGCACCCCTCCAGATTGGTTTGCGTCCCTGTTTTGTTGCTCGTGTGCTGCCACAGGGCCTCAGTTTTCTTATCTGTGAAGTGGGAGAGCTAACTTGGGTGAGCTGTGAAGATCAAGGCTCCGAGGGGTCCCAGGGCCTGGGGCAGGGATCCCCAGGGAAGGTGTCAGCAATAGTGGGCTGGGCTGGAAGCCTCTATTACTTCCCCACAGACCTGGACCCGTGACTTCACCGCTCCAGTTTTTCTCACCTGTAAAATGGGAACATGGCAGAACCGATGTCAAAGAAGACCCAGTCTTCCACCTGTGTTTCTCCTTTACTGTCACACCATTATCACACTCTCAAAGCTTCTGACACCAGATATGTGTGGTTCTTTTTTCCCCACACTAAGCAATTCTGTGAGACCAGCTGGGTGTCCCACAAAATTCAATTCAGTTTAATTCAGTCCTGACACTGTCTACCTGGAGATGGTGTCAGCTCCCACCGGTCAAGGGCTCAGTCTGACAAGGTTGCCCCCCACCCCACTTCAGACGCCAATCACAAGTCAGTTTATAACCTGTGCTTCTGACCTATGGCTGTAAATCTGAGATGCCCAAAACCCCCTCTTCAGGTTCAATTCATCTGAGTGGCTCACAAGACTCAGGGACACAGCTACTAACAGTTATCACTTTATGAAAGGAGATGATAAAGGATACAGATGAACAACCCGATGAAGAGACAATTATGGCAAGGTCTGGGAGGTGCCCGAGAGCAGGTGCTTGCTTCTGTCCCTGTGGAGTTGGGGGTGCGTCAGCCTCCTGGTGCCCGCATGAGCTCACCCACCTCTGCAAGCTCCCCAAACCCCATCCTATCAGGATTTTGATGGAGGCATCAATTATCAACTCCATTTCCAACCCCTCTCCCTTCTCTGGGGAAGTGGCAGGAAGTGGGATATGGGAGGGGGCTGAAAATTTCAGCCTTCTAATCATGGCTTACGTGGTCTTTCTGGTGACCAGCCCTGATCCAGGAACCCACTTAGAGTCACCTCACTAGAACAGAAATGCTCCTAGTGCTCTTATCTCTTAGGGGTGTACAGGGGTTTCCATTGCCTGTGTCAAGGTCAGAATCAAAGACTAAACATTAGAGCAAAAGATGCTTCTCGTGCTCTTGTGCGTGCGTGCTCAGGCGCTTCACTCATGTCCAGCTCTTTGCGACCCCATGGACTGTAGACCACCAGTCTCCTCTGTCCATGGGATTCTCCAGACAAGAATACTGCAGTGGGTTGCCATGCCATCCTCCAGGGGATCTTCCTGACCCAGGGATCAAACCCTCATCTCTCACGTCTCCTGCACTGGCAGGCGGTTCTTTACCACTAGCACCAAAGCCTTCTAGTGCTTTTACCACTTAGTAGTTACAAGGGTTTTTGGAGTTCGGTGCCAGAAACCGGGGCAGAGACCAACAGAGATATTTTCTGTTATCTCACAACTGACCTCACAGGGTCACTGTTGCGGGGATAGGAGAGGGCAGAGAAGCCCTTGGCACCGGCTCTGGCCGTGTGCTCGCATTGCTCTGAGATGGCCTCTCTGGTGGGGGACGGTCCATGCAGGTGTTCTCCAGGGAAGAGCTGGAGCTGGTGGCCAGCCTCTGCCAGCAGCATGACGTTGTGTGCATCACGGACGAGGTGTACCAGTGGTTGGTCTTCGATGGGTTCCAGCACATCAGCATCGGTGAGCCAAGCCGGCCAGGGCACCCCCGTACCCCCACAGCAGGGCCTTGAGTCCAGTCCGGTGTCAGCGCAGGTCTGGTGATTAGGACCGAGGGGTCTGGACCCTCACAGGTCAGGTGGCCTGGGGCAGTGACTTCACCTCTCTCAGGACAGGAGAACACAGTGGCACCTACCTCCCGGGGTTGTCATGAGGAGGGGCTCAAATAAGTCTTAGAAATAGCTTAGCACAGAGTGGAGTCTGCGGCGCTGAGAGCCTGGGTCCCTGCTGGGGCCCAGCCCCCACTCCGTGCCCCCACCCCCGTCTCAGCAGCCGCTCTCTTTGATCTTGGGCAGCCAGCCTCCCTGGCATGTGGGAACGCACCCTGACCGTCGGTAGCGCTGGCAAGACCTTCAGTGTCACAGGCTGGAAGGTGAGGCAACGAGAGTTTGGGGGGGCCCCCTCCCTCTACGATCGTTGGTGGGAGAGGCAGGCCTGGGAATCCGCAAAGGGTTTGGCTGGGCCCCCAAGGGCCTCACCCCCTCCCTGTCTTCTTGGTCCAGGTGGGCTGGGTCCTGGGTCCGGACAGCCTCATGAAGCACCTGCGTACTGTGCACCAGAACTCCATCTATACCTGTGCCACGCAGGGCCAGGTGAGGGGGGCGGGGCCCGGGCGGGGCGGAGCGGAGCAAGAGAGGGGTTTGGGCCAGCTCCAGGGTCGGGCCACACCCGACCTGCTCGCTGCGCCACCCACCCGCCCCCACACCCTCCCCAGGCTGCCGTGGCTCAGAGCTTCGAGCGGGAGCAGCTGCACTTCGGCCAACCCAGCAGCTACTTTGTGCAGTTCCCACAGTACATCCAGCGCTGCCGCGACCACATGATACAGAGCCTACAGTCCGTGGGCCTGCGGCCCGTGATCCCCCAGGGCAGCTACTTCCTCATCACAGACATCTCGGACTTCAGTAAGTGGGCCCGGCCTGGCGGGGCCAAGGCTGGGACCCTGGAGGCTGCCCAGGACTCAGCACGTCCTCTTTCCCCCAGAAAACAAGATGCCTGACTTGCCTGGAGCGGCAGATGAGCCCTATGACAGACGCTTCGTCAAGTGGATGATCAAGAATAAGGTGGGCTGGGCTCTGCCGGGGCACTGTGTGTGTTTTACAGGCTGTGCAATGCTAAGGGTGACTGACCCCAGAGCTGATGGGTCAAAATCTAGCCCGGCCTCTGCCCTGAGCCGTGGTTCAGGGTTGTATCCTTTTCAAGGAAAGGGGAGCCTGTTTTTAATGTGCTCAAATAGGCCTTGTGGGCTGGCAGGAATTCCTGCCCTCTCAGGGTCTCAGTCTTCCCTGTACAGTGAGTGGTTGGCCCATTAACTCTGAGGTCCATCCAGTTCAGTGCTGCAATTCTGAGACATTTCTTCTATGTCTCTGCCCTGACCTGCCAGGTGATCTTCCTTGCTCTCAGCCTCCCTCTCTCCTCTGTACATAAGGAGGGACTTGGAATGGTGCGTTGGGATGTTTTACCTCTGAGCTTGACACAGCCCTGGGAGGTGCTGCATTAAAGCTTATTCTCTTTCTCCTTCCTCATCATGGAACCCTCTGACCCCTTGAGGCCCCCCAGAGGCCTGCCAGGCTGTGGGACGGTTGAGACGTGGGCTTCCTCCTCCCCAGGGCTTGGTGGCCATTCCAATGTCCATCTTCTTCAGCGTGCCCCACCAGAAGTTCTTTGACCACTATATCCGCTTCTGTTTCGCGAAGGTAACGGACATGCCTGGGGAGGGCAGAGCTCCCCAATCCTCCCCAGGCCTCCTGGGGAGAGGGGTAGGACTTGTCTGTGTTGGTGCAGGATGAATCCACGCTCCGGGCCATGGACCAGAAGCTGCAGAAGTGGAAGGCTGAGCTCACGCCCTGAGGTCGTGACATCAGCCCTGGGCCCTGCCTGGTGCCTGCACACTCTGTGAGGCTCTGTCTTTGTCCAGCTCTCAGCCATCCCAGGTGGAAGGTAGAAGGTACTGGAGGAGCCTGTCTCTGTAACACAGAATGATCCCAGGGAAGAGTCCTGCTTTTGGTCTCTGGGGAGTCGGGAGCACTTCCTCATGGTGTATGGCTCTGTTCCTGTCGCAGAGGTGAGGGAGGCCTGACCGGGGCCTCTCCCTGGTGTTACCTGTGCTGGGCTGAATGGTCTTGGGTCCCCTCGCCCCTTCCCAGGCTCAGCTGGGACTCCAAGGGCAGACTTCAATACCGTACTGCCCTTGGTCCCAGTCCTGGCCCCAGCCAGGCCTTGGACATCCTTCCCCTTCCTTATCTACATTTGTTCTTGGGAGGTTGTATTTAGGCTTGAGTCCTCAAGCCAGTACTTTGTGCCCATAATAAAGTTTTAAGCTATTCAGACTCTTATTGGCCGCTTCTCTCCACTTCACACCCTGGTGCTGATTGCTGACAGGGGCTCAGTCAGAACAGAAGGCATCTTCCACCTCCCTGAACCTCAGCTCCCAGACTTTCTACAAACGTTTTGGAGCCCAAAGAAGGGGGGCCTTAGTTGAGGGTCTAACAGGAAAGATACAGACAATCAGGTCCCACAAGGATCAGAGTCCAGGCCAGGAGTGCCAGGGATTACATAATTAGAACAAAAGGGGAGGAATTCCCCTAGTCCAGTGGTTAAGAATCTGCCTGCCAATGCAGGGGACATGAGTTCAATCCCTGGTCTGGGAAGACCCCACATGCCACAGGGCAACTAAGCCCATGTGCCACAACTACCCAGCCCACATGCTGTAGCTACTGAAGATCTCGTACGCTAGAGCCTGTGCTCTGCGACAAGAGAAACCACCATAAAGAGAAGCCTGCGAGCCGCAAGAAAGAGTCGCGCCCTCTCGCCACAACGAGAGAAAGCCGGCATGCAGCAATGAACATCTAGCGCAGCCAAAAATAATTAATTAAAAAACAAATAATTGAAGGGCAAAGGAATGTTTCACCGAACATTTATCGTGCACCCCTGCTTCCTGGACACCTGGATGCCCATCATCTCATTAAACAGCCCCTGAGACAGGAGTTATTTTCTCATGTTACAAGCGAGGAAAGCACTTTGGAGGTCGGGTGACTTGTCTGAGGCCCTTCTGCTGGTAAAAGGTAAAGGGAGGGATTTGATCCCAGGAGTGTGCCTCCCACTGGAAAACAAGGCACCTTCTGAAATCCTTTTTGGAAGGTGGTCCTGGGGACTTGTCTTGAAGTTGCATTTGTGTAACAAGCTCATGGGTTTTGCTCATATCACTGATGTAATTGGGGGAGGTGATGGGAACATACAACATAATCAAATGTGTTGAGTCTTTGTCTGTGGTTCCTGGCACAGAGCTCCTAAAACCCTTGGATTTCCTGAGTGATGGTAGTGTCTTTTGTTATTCCAATGAACCCCTTCAGCCGTATGTCTTTTTAAGTAATTTTATTTACTTATTTTTTATTTTGGGCCGTGCTGGTTCTTCGTGGTGCTCAGGCTTTTCTCTAGTCGTGGGGAGTGAGGTCTACTCTCTAGTTTCAGTGCTTGGACTTCTCATCGCAGCGGCTTCTCTTGCTGCAGAACGCAGGCTCCAGGGCTGCAGGCTGCAGTAGTTGTGGCTCTCGGGCTTAGCTGTTCCTCGGCATGAGGGATCTCCCTAGATCAGGAATCAAACCTGTGTCTTCTGCGTTGGCCGGTGGATTCTTCACCACTGAGCCACCAGGGACACCCTCGACCATGTATTTAAAAGGTCAGAATTTTCAGCTCCAACCCCAGACCCCAGGGAGGGTAAAGGACTGGCCATTGAGTTCAGTTACATGGTTAATGATTTAATCAGTTGTGCATACGTAATAAAATCCCACATAAAAACCCTCAACTGGGACTTCCCTGCTGGTCCGGCAGCTAAGACCGCACTCCCAGTGCAGAGGGCTCAGGTTCAGCCCCTCATCAGGGAACCAGTTCCCACAGGCCACAACGAAGAGCCGGAATGCCTCAACTAAAGATCCTGCATGCGGCAACTAAGACCCGGCAGAGGCAAATAATTTTTTTTTTTAATTTTTAACAATTAAAGAAAAGGGCTTCCCTGGTGGCTCAGTGGCGAAGAATCCGTCTGCCAGTGCAGGAGACCCAGTTTTGATCCCTGATCTAGGAATACATGACATGCCACAGAGCAGCTAAGCCTGCTCACCACAACTACTGAGCTTAAAAAAAAAAAGAAAAACCAACTACTGAGCCTGTGTTCTAGATCCTGGAAGCTGCAACTCCTGAAGCCCTTGCACCCCAGAGCATATGCTCTGCAAAAAGAAAAGCCACCGCAATGAGAAACCCGTGTACCACAATTAGAGTAGCCTCTACTCACCACAACTAGAGAAAGCCTGCGCACCAACAAAGAGCCAGCACAACCAAAATAAACAATAAAAAAAATTTTTTTTAATACGATAAAAACAACCCTGAATCAATGAGGTTCAAGGAGTTTCTGGGCTGGTGAAGACCTCAATGAGCTGTAGGGTGGCCCATCCAGAGAGAGTATGGAAATTCCATGCCCACCTTTCCACCTTAGTCTAGGTACCTCTTACACTGGGCTGTTCCTGAGTTGTATCTTCTAAAATATAACTGTAAGTATAGCGCTTTCCTGAGGGCTGTGAATCGTTTCAGCAAATTATTGAATTTCAATGGGGTCAAAACCACCACTCCCATGAGGTGGTCATGGGAATGCCAGAATTTGCAGTCAGCCAGGCAAAAGTTGTGGGTGGCTGGGCACCCCACTTGCCACTGGCATCTGAAGTGGGAGGCAGTCTTGTGGGCTCCCTTAACTTATGAGATCTGTGCCAACTTGTCAGAATTTAATCAAAGCTTAGGACACCCACTTGGTGTCAGAGAATTGCTATTTGGAACATATTGGTGTTGTGACATAGGACACTCCACTCTCTCCCTTTCCAAACAATGACTTTGTACTACTATCACTGTTTCAAAGTCAAGACTGTGAAACAATACAACTCAGAGGCTCAGGCTTGGGGCCCCTTTGCCATACTACACATAGTCTGATAATAAGAACGTCCTCCAGAGCCAGAGGAGAAACTATGCTCGTAGTTTTGAGTACTAAGGTGTCTTTTTTTTTTTTTCATAAACTTCTCTCTCTAGTCATGATCCAGCTAATCATCATTATAGATGAATAAAGATGCCCATTTAAAAGAAAGAAAGGAAACCAGACAGGTAGGTAGAAAGAAAGAATAAAAGGATTTCTTGGATAGAACTGAGGCAGAAGGCAGATGGGTCCCAGGCTAGGTATTTGCAAGGAGGCTCCTGTTTACATTTCTTGGGGCAGGAAAAAAGTGGACTTCAGGCTGGACATACACACATACACCCCTTGTTTGCATTTTCAGAGACAGGAGATAGGTGGGCTTCAGATTAGATATTTACGACCAGTTTCCTGCTTGCTCTCCAAAATGGGAGTAACAACTAAAACAGGGTAGATAACCAGGCTTTCTCTCCTGAAGACACCTTAAGATAACAGTCATGGCAGGAACAGAGAGCGGCGAAACCTTGTTTGAGTAACGAATCAAGAGGCCAAATATCTCCCATCCTCGGGGCAAGGGAGACATTGCATATGGGCAGAAAGGCTCCCATGGGGTCAAAAGTCAGGGGGTGCCAAGCCACAATAAGTAATGCTTCTTTACTCCCAAAAGCCTCTGCGTTGAAATCCATCTTGGAAAAAAGTTGTGCACACCTGTTGCCTAGGGCAGGTCAGGTGTGGAAAAATAAATCAGATTGTCGGCCAAAATTAAACAAAGACCCAGAAGAACTGCCCTATATAAGTTTTTTAACCACCTTTTTTCTGGTTCCTCCTCATTAGGGAAGGTGCCCACACACTTTCTCTCCAGGTGCCCCTGTCTTGCTTCTTTCTTAACTAAACGGACGGTTTCTCTGTGTGTTCTCCCACTTGTTGTGCTATGTCTCTAATAATAAACTTTGTGCCCATTTTTACAGTTTTTGCCTTCAGTGAGATATTTCACTGGAGGCAAGAGTCAGGGAAAGATAGCCTCTAGCCCTTGCTGGTCTGGTGGCAAGGATTCCTGGTATCCATCCAGGTCACCTGGATGGAAACACTTCTGCCTGGCTGACTGCAAATTCCAGCATTCCCTTGACCATCCCCCACCCCCCAGATTCAAAAAGTTCAATTCTTGGGCAGGGAATTAAGGTGTGGCTTCACGCCACCAGCTCATTCTGCTGCCTCTCTGAGATGAGAACCACTCTGACCAAAGGTTTCATAGATCATGAACCAAGCTAGAATCTGCCCTTAACTCAAATCTGTGACTCTACAGAGGTTTCAAGTCTTGGACCGAGTAACCTCAGCCAACTTGAGATGTGTAAATGAATTTGCATTTCATTAAGATACGGGCAAGGGGGGAATGGTGAAGTAAACACAATAACCCCTATAATGTTAACACACACATTGAATTAGAAATTAATCTCTCTTCTACTAGGTTGTAAACTCCAGATCAGTATTTGTTTTGCTGACCATTGTGTCCCTGGCAGTCAGCACTGCCAGGAGTTCCTGCCTCAAAATGGGCTCAGCTTGATAAATATTTGTTGACTGAATGGATATTGACTCAAATTTATCATTTAAAAAAGAAAGTGTATCTCATTCCTTGCTGGTAGGAATGAGATGTAACAAAATGGTGTGTAACTACTTTGGAAGACAGTTTGGTGACTTCTTTCAAAGTTAAACATAGTCTAACCCTTGGATCCAGCAATCAGACTTCCAGTTGTTTATCCAAATGAGATGAAAAGTCAGGTCCACACAAAAACCTACACATGAATATTTACAGCAGTTTTATTTATAATTGCCAAATACTGGAAACAACCAAATGTCCTTTGAAAGGTGATTGGATAGACATGCTGGCATATCCATACAATGAATATTATCCAGCAATAAAAAGTGAATACTATCCAGCAAGAAAAAGAAATGAGATATCGAGCCACTAGAAGCTAGGGAGGAACTTTGAATACATATTACTTAATAAAAGAAGGGAGTCTGAAAAGGCTTCATATTGTCTGATTCCAATTATATGACATTCTGGAAAAGGCTAACCTATAAGAACAGTTTTTTAAAAAAAGAGCAGTGGTTATCAGGGGCTTGAGAAGTGGGGGAAGTAGGTGGAACACAGATTTTTAGGACAGTGAATCAATTTTGTATGATACTGTAATGACTGGGGCTTCCTTGGTGGCTCAGACACTAAAGAATTTGCCTGCAATGCAGGAGACCCAGGTTTGATCTCATCATCCCAAGAAGATGCCCTGGAGAAGGAAATGGCAACCCACTCCAGTATTCTTGCCTGGAGAATTCCATGGCAATGATAGATATGACATTACATATGACATTACTGTCAAAACCCACAGTATGTAC